CCCCCCCAGCTCTGCGGAGCCGCATGAACAATAGGCGGCGGCGGCTCCTGCGGGCGGCGGCGGCCCCGCACCCTATGGATCGGCCGCTCCATGGAGCCCCCGAGCGCGCTTCTCGGCTGCCTGGCGAGCGCCGCCACTGCCGCCCCGCCGGGGGAGGATGGAACGGGGACCGGGGCCGAGGAGGAGGAGGAAGAGGAGGAGGAGGCGGCGGCGGCCCCCGGGGGGCTGGGTTCCGACGCCCCGCTACCCTACTGGACGGCCGTGTTCGAGTACGAGGCGGCGGGCGAGGACGAGCTGACCCTGCGGCTGGGCGACGTGGTGGAGGTGCTGTCCAAGGACTCGCAGGTGTCCGGCGACGAGGGCTGGTGGACCGGGCAGCTGAACCAGCGGGTGGGCATCTTCCCCAGCAACTACGTGACCCCGCGCAGCGCCTTCTCCAGCCGCTGCCCGCCCGGCGGCGAGGACCCCAGTTGCTACCCGCCCATTCAGTGTAAGGCGAAGGCGGGGCGCGGGATGGGGCGCGGGGCGGGGAGGGGAGGAGGGGGGACGGGATGGAGGCCTGGGGTGGTCGTGGAGGGAGGGAAGGCCCGGCCGAGGGTGGTGGGTTAGAAGTGGGAAGCCAGGGTGGGGCGTGATGGGCGATCGGGGTGGAGGGGGTGCGCGCCATCTCCGGGCGGCCCGGGCTTTAATTTGGTGAGGTGGATTTCCCAGAGACCCCGCAGGCCGGACCTGGAATTCAGACTCCTGGGCTTCTTAACCTTCCTCTCCCCACTCAGCAAGAACCCCTGGGGTCCACGTTCCGGAACATGATAGTCTCCCCGCGTCCTTCCTCCTCTTTACCCTTCCTGTCTCCCCTTCAAATCGGGAAAGATTTTCAGGCAAGCGGGTGGTTGGTTACTACCGAAACCACCGAAGTCCCCACATCTGGGACTTTGCCGACCTCTGGTGTCGCCTCTCCCCGCCTCTTAAAGGTATTTGTTGAGAGCGAGAGAGGGAGAGGTGGAGGGTTGGGCTGGCTGACTTACAAGTTCCGGAAGTATGTGTGAACTCAGGGCTGAAGTGTCTTTGAAATGTGTTGATTTCCTGGATCCTAGTGCTGTGTTTCAGAATCGCACCTTTAGGAGTCTCGCTGGATGATGTGTTAAGAAAGGTGTGTGTGAGGTGGTGGTTGGGGTTGGGCTGGGGAAGTGTTGGGTGGAGAAATTATTAGAAAGGGACAAGGATGTTGGAGCATAGGGTCCTTCAATAGTCTTACAGTTCACACGATAAAGATTTTCTCCTCTCCTCTCACCCTAGATCTTTGCCTATATTTGGAATTGCCCAAGTCTCGGGGGTTGGGGTGGGGGAGTATGTCCAAGGTTCCCTCCCAGGGCCTTTATCCCAGTGTCCTGGTTTTCATCAGTTTCCCAAGAGAACTCTGGTCCACACCTGTAATGAAATTCCCTTTTTTTTTTTCTTTAGAATTCCCTAAACAATCATACATACTTGATTGTTTTAGAAGGATGCAAATGTCTTAAAATGCAGTTTACTGTGTGTGCATGTTGCAAACACCAGTTCTAGAACTTGAACTTTTTTGCTCAAAGCTAAAGCTCTATCACTTGAGCCACAGCTCCACTTCCAGCTGTTTTGGTGTTTAATGGGAGATAAGGATCCCTCGAGCTTTCCTGCTTAGCCTGGCACCCTTATGCTCAAATCACAGACCTCTGAGTATCTAGGATTACAGGCTTGAACCACTGGATCCCAGCCATACTGTTTTTGTATTTAAGAATTCCACTGTTTCTTCTCTGTTAAGATACATTGCAAGCATGTATTTATTATTGAACATTTATTTCAATTGTAACAGTTATTTTTTGTGAATCTCTAACTTATCTCCACTTGAATAATGGTGCCACTTTGTCTTAAGATATGCAGTAATTAACATCAGAATCATTAGTTTTTTTTCTACCTATTTTTTTTGGTGTTTTGAATGCCAAATTGATACTCAGATCTTTGATTTTCTTCATATTTCTTTCATTCAGTTTAAAGCTTTATATTTCTACCTTTTGATCTCTAGAATGCTTGAATGACAAATTAAATTGTTTCCAGTGCTACATCTTTTTGGCACAGGTATTGGTAAGATGAAGGCTACTCAAAGGTCCTGGCATAATGTTTTGAAACAGTGTTAAAGTTAAACTTAGCCATATGTTGGAAGACATAAAAATAGTGGCATGTTAGAAAACACTGTGGTTTTAAATGTAAGAGGTTCTTTGTGGGTGAAGTTCTGTTTTGTTTTTTAGCAACAACTAGTGTCAGAGTTCATGTGCAGTTTGTGAGCAGAAACTGTTTCTTCAGAGTCTTGATTGCTGTCATAGCAGTCAAGAGTGAATATAAGTGACTATGACTTAGACCAAAGAAACTTTGTAGAGGAAGCCAGACATGTCAGGCGTGTGCTACTTTGGGAGTTCCTTCTCTGTAAGATGGCCAAGACTTACTTATATTATAATCAAAGCTTCCTTGGATAGAGTTGATTCTGAAATCTAGAACCCAGATGATGAGGAAGGAAGAAGTATCTTCTGCTTGAATAACATAGCATTTGAAAGTCCTGGTTGTTAAGTACTCTAATTTGGCTTTGCTAAATTTGATTACCATCAATTCTTGATAATTCAGAAATTTTATTTCCAGTCAGAAGTTGAGTACTTACTGACAGATACAGTGTTAGGTACCAGGAGATATATAACAAAAAGGTGCTTGAAAGTTACATGAGGTCATGTAAATACAAAATTTCATTTTAGTGCTTTGTAAAGACAGGTGGTTCTCTGATCTGTATGGATCTATCCACAAGTTCAGTAAGTGTCAGAAAAAAAAAAAAACGATTGACAAATTTTTCTTTAAAGATTTGGAAATATAAAGGAGACACCAACAATTCTTGAACTTCCTCTCCGGAACTTCCATCGTGGCGTCCAGGTTATATTCTGGATTGTGTGAATAGATGACATTGTCAAGCAATAATGCTCAGTTAATGTTAAGTTTTTTTACTTTTCCAAAGTGAAATTTTTGTTCCAACTTTATTCCAAACAAAGGGAAAATTACTAAACTTTTTGTAAAAAAAAAAAAAGCAGTGATACTATAAACCATTTATATTTATATAATGCTTTTTTTCTTGTCCTGTGTAGGTGTTAGGGTTGAGCTTTCCTTTGATGATAAACATAAATGAATCAGGAGCACATTCATTTGATTTATTTTAGATAAATATGTAAATGTAAAGTTCCAAATTTATGTTTTTGAGTGATATAGTCCTAGGTCTTTAAAACATTTCTCTTCCATGACAGTTGTGTCTGTTTGAAAACAGGGCATTAAATTAATTATTAATTCACACTTTTTCTTACATCCACTAAAAATGTAAGAATGTGTTTTCAGGTGTATTTAAGATTGTTTTAAAATTATTTTTAAATAGTTGTACAAAGGAGTTGCTATTTAACAAAGCAGTTTATAAATACAATATACCTTGATCAGTGTTATGCCTTTCAACATTCTTACCCATCCTTTTTCTACCCACCCTCTTCACTCTTCTTAATTTTGTAGGTTATACATTAGATTCTTTTTAAAGTAGTTATTATAAAGGTGATGTACATACAAAGGGGTTACAGTTAATAAATCAGGTAAAGAGCACTTTACTTTTGCACAGTGACATCTCTTCCCTTGTTCTCTCCCAGTTTTTCCCTCCTGTCCCCACCCACAAGTTGTATAGTTCATTGTCAACATAGTGTCTAGTGAGTACCACTGCTGCATTTGTTCACCTTTTGTCCCTCCATTTCTGGGACCCATCTTACCCTCCCAAAGACAGATAAATGAACAAACAAAAACAAAAAAGAAAGCAACAACTACCAAAAAAAAGCCCTTCGTTTCCATTTCCTGGAGTTCATTTCAGCAAATACTATTGTATATGTTCAGATGCACATAGGCATTGCACTTCTGTGTTCCTTCCATAAGAGACTCCACCTTTGGTCTCACTGTGTGTGAATGCTTAGAGACCTGTATAATTTATCATGTTCCAGTGTATTTTAGAGCTAGTTTCTGCATGTGAGAGAAAACATCCCCCATTTTGTCTCTCTGAGCTTGTCTTACCTCACTTAACTTGATTTGTTCAAGGTCATTCAGTTCCCTGCAAATGACATACTATTCTTTCTAATGGCTGTGTAAAATTCTATTATGTATAGGGTACCACATATTTTGGATCCACTCATCTATGATAGCGCTGTTTCCATAGCTTGGGTATTATGAATAGTGCAGCAGTGAACATGGATGTACAAGTATTTCTATGGTATCCTGGCTTGTAATGTTCTAGGTAGATGCCCGTAAGTGGTATGCCTGGGTTATACAGAAGATCTATGTTTAGTTTTTTGAGGAACTTACAAACTGATGATCTGAGTGGTTGTATTAGCTTACATTTCCACCAACAGTGCAATTGGGTTCCTTTTTCCCCTACATTGGATTCTTGACTGCATTTTCCTTTACTTCTTTTCATTTGTCCACTGCTTTCCCCTTGACCCATACCACCCTATCTAGTACTTGCTTCTTGGTGTTTTGTTTTGCTTAATTTTGACTTTACCTTTCTAAGGAATTACACTATTTGAGTTCTCCCTTGGATCTACCATATTTCTGTACTTAAGATTTGAGGTTTATTATTTTTTTTAAGACAAGATCTCATGTGTACCCTAAGCTGGCCTTAATTTCATGATTTTCTGTCTCTGCTTCCCAAGTGCTAGGAATATTGGCATGCAGCAATATTTCCACAGACCCAGCTCTTTAGGAAAGATTTTTTTTTAGGGCTGGGAAGGTGGCTCAGTGGTAGAGCACTTGCCTTGCATGCCTGAAGCCCTGGGTTCAATTCCTCAGCACCACATAAACAAAAAGAAAAGAAGCCGGAAGTGGCGCTGTGGCTCAGGTGGTAGAGCACTAGCCTTGAGCTGAAGAGCTGAGGGACAGCGCCCAGGCCCAGAGTTCAGGCCCCATGACCGGACCCAAAAACAAAAAAAAAAAAGATTTTTTTTAATGAGTAGAATATATACCATTCTTATACTTTATGATGGAGTATATACCATTTGTTTGTACAAACTTCCCAAGAATCTTCCTCTGTATTCAGTTTCCAACCATACAACTGAAAAGGAATACCATCTTCACTCTTAAAAAAAAAGTTTTCTGGGCTGGGATGTAGCTCAGTGGCAAAGCGCTTGCCTAGCAAGCGCAACGTCCTGGGTTCGATCCCCAATACCAAAAAAGAAAAGACAAAAAAAATACAGTTAAAAAAAAAAGTTTTCCTTCCTTCCTTCCTTCTTTCTTTCGTTCTTCTTTCTTTCGAGTCGTGGGGCATGAACTTGGTCTGGGCACTATCACCGAGCTTGTCATCTCAAGGCTAGTGCTCTTAACACTTGAGCCACAGCACCATTTCCCATTTTCTGGTGGTTAATCGTAGATAAGAATCTCATGGGGGCTGGGAAAATGGCTCAGTGGTAGAGCACTTGCCTTGCATGCATGAGGCCCTGGGTTCGATTTCTCAGCACCACATAAGCGAAAAGAAAAAAAGCTGGAAGTGGTGCTGTGGCTCAAGTGGTAGAGTGCTAGCCTTGAGCTGAAGAGCTGAGGGGCAGTGCCCAGGCCCAGAGTTCAGGCCCCATGTCCGGACCCAAAAAAAAAGAGTCTCATGGACTTCCTGCCCGGGCTGGCTTTGAACCTCAGTCCTCAAATCTCAGCCACCTGAGTAGCTAGGAATACAGGCATGAACCACTGGCACTCAGCTTTTTTCCTTTCTAAAAACCAGGTCTTGACTGGAGTGATAAATATATATACATATATATAGAAATATATATGGAGAATATATATGGAGAGCTCCATATATTCTCTGCTGAAACTGAAATTCTAGTTCCTTAGCTCTTATCCAAAGGGACTTCTTAGCAGGGAAGAAAAAGAAAGTCCTCCATCTTGCTTCCAGTCTTTGTGTATGGTAGAAGTCTGTGCTCTATACTTTTCTTGAAGGTTGGTCCCAAAAGTTCCTTAACTACATAGGAGGAACCTGAGCTTTTATGTTCTTACCAAAGAGAGGTGATTGTTTTCCTTTGTCCACAAAGGATTTCTGTCTTTGGTGACCTGCCCGAGGGGAGCTGTCCTTTCAGCACCCTAGTCCCAAGTTAGATGTGTTTCCCCACCCCCATCCTGGCATTTAAATAAACATTCAACACCTACTGTGTGTTAAGAAAGTACAATAGTAATTCCCTGGGGAAGAACTCAAGACACTGTTGAGGAACTAGTATAATGAATACAAATTTGTTGAGAGGCAGGTAACTTTTCTTCATATAAATGGTAGGGGGTGGGAAACTCTGATCATAGTTCTCTAAGAGGTTTTCTACCTTTCTTTAAGACAGATGTTTTTTTCATACATAGAGACTGCATCAGGCAAAAATTAGTAATCAGTTAGGGTTCAGTTTTAGGACTCAGAAACACTGAAGCTATTTTAAGCAGGAAAAGGATCTAGCACAGGAAATTAGGTGTTCACGGAATTGTTGGAAGGACTGAGAGAGGAGACTCAGCTGAACCTATAGGAAGAACTCTTGGGATATGGCCTACCAGGCGAGCTGCCACTTCTCTGTTTGGGCAGGTAAAGATTCTGGAGAGGCCATTGAAGATGTTGGCTTCAGGAACACCCTTTGTGTCTGGAGCCCTGAGATGAGGCCACCACTTGGTGATGAAACAATCCTTCCTACATCTACAGAGCTAGTAATTGGACAAGTATCTGTTGTTGCAGATAGACATGCTTGTGAGGAGAAGCATCAAGATGGTCTCTTTGTTGCTTCTGCATCTGGTTGGCAGAACTTTTTCTGTATACAAACCTGGGAAATACAGGTTTCTTGACTTTAGTACTGAAAGGTGGTGCTAGCGTAAAATGGATGCTGACTGCTAGTCTGCAGTATCATCCACATCACTTGTTTTTCAAGAAGATTGCTAGATGAAGCAATAACTAAGTGGTGTTGGCAATCAAACCAGGTCCTTGCAAATGCTAAGCACCTGCTCTACCGTCAGCATGCTATAACTTCATCCCCAAGGCTATAACTTTTAAAAATATATGTGTTTTTTATTGTAAAGATACTGTACAGAGGATTTACAGTTACATGAGCAAGGTAATGAGTCCATTTCCTATTGAGCATTATTACCCCCTCCTTTGTTTTTCCCCTACCATCCCTCCCCTCCCCCCTGCAAAATTGTAAAGTTCCTTTTCAACATAGTGTCTTGTACATCTCATTGTTACAGTGGGTCATCCTGTATCCTTATTTCAGCATTTTTATAACTTCTTTTTTTTTCCTTTGTGGCTCTTCTGGTCTTTGAAATAAGGGCCTAGGTGCTGTCCCTGAGCTTTTTTACTCAAGGCTAGTACTCTGCTACTTGAGCCACAGCTGCACTTGTGCATTTTCGGTGTTTAATTGGATATAAGTATCTTATAGATTTTCCTAGCTACCTCACTTTGGAGCCTTAATCCTTAAGAGTTTCCTTTTAGCAGCCTGACAGTTGCACTGCAAAAATTCAAGTGACTATCAGTCCCAGATAAAATGGAAGTACTATAATTAAGCAAGGACAGATTTTTTTTTGGGGTATCACCATCATCTGAGTAGAGAGCAGGGGTGTGGCAGAGCTGGCCAAGTAAGGAACGGAACAGCTAGCAGTGGGCAGTTCCTCTTTCGATCTTGCCAAAAGTTCAGAAATATCTTTGTTTTCTTAGTATTTTAGTAGAGTGAGATTGTTATCTTTGTTTTAGAAAGCCCAAGTGGGGGCTGGGA